GCATTAAGCGTAGCGCATCTAATGAAAGTTCTGCGTACTTGTGGCGTGAAAGACTAGGTCACATTTCCGAAGAAAGGATTATGAGGTTGGTAAGGAATTCAATTCTTCCTCAATTGGATTTTAGTGACTTAGATGTATGTATAAACTACATAAGGTAAAGTAGACTAAACATACTTTAAATAAAACAGCCACAAGAAGAACATTAGCTTCATGAGTTAATACACACCGATATATGTGACCATTTCAATGGAGCAGTGAAAAGTATTTCATCACCTTTATTGATTATTACTCACGGTATAGATATACCTATCTAGTTATGAAAAGTCTAAGTCTATGGATTTCCTAGAAGTGTTCATTGACTTGGTAAAAATCATGTTAGATAAGAAGGTTAAAGTAGTGAGTTTTGATAGAGGTGGTGAATTCTTAGTCCATTAGAAAAGTTACTTAATAATAAGGGTATTTTTGTAAAATACATTATGTTCAGTACTCCTCAGAAGAATGGTGTAGCTGAGAGGCGGAACCGTACCTTAATAGATATGGTTAGGAGAATATTAAGTAATTTCTCTTTACCCCTTTCTTTGTGGATATATGCATTAAGGAATTACAATGTATATGTTGAACAAGGTTCCTAGTAAGGCAGTTCATAAGATCCTTTACGAACTGTGGACGGGAAAGAAACCTAGTTTGAAGCATCTACGTGTATGGGGTTTTCCTACGGAAATAAGTTTATATAATCCACCTGAAAAGATACTTGATTCTTGGATTGTCAGTAAACTTTTATTGATTATCCTGAAAAATCAAAGGGGTAGAAATTTTGTTGTTCTAACCATAGTACGAGAATAGTTGAATTGGTTAATGCTAGGTTCATTGAGAATAGTGAAAATAGTGGGAGTGGTGAACTGTGAAGAGTGTACATTAATGAGACCCGGGTTGAAGTTCATTCACCTAAAGTTGCACTTGAAGTAGTTGTTTCTATTGTTTCATCATATTCAGTGACACAGTAGAACAACAATATGAGGATGCACCATTCTCACTAGATAAAAATATTTAGACAATGAACTTGTCATAGTTTCAAATAAAGAATAGTGAACCACAAGTAACTTTAAAGCGATCTGGGAAAGAAGATCTGCCATATCACATGACTATGTGGTTGCTATTGAAAGTGAATGTGACTTAAGCATGTATGAAGATTCGATCTCATTCCAAAGAGCCATGGAAAGTAACAATTCTGGAAAAGGTTTAATGCCGGAAAAGAACAATAAAAAATCTATGGGTGATAATGAAGTTTGGTACTTAGTAAAGTTGCTTGATGTTTTTAAAACCATTGGTTATAATTGGTCTTTAAGACCGAACACGACTCGAAAGGTAACAATGAAAGATAGCTAAATCTTTCACCCAGAAAAGAGGGCATTAACTATAAAAGATGTGTTCTCTAGTTTCAAAGAAAGATTCTCTTAGAACTGTTTGTTGCTTTGGTGGCTCATTATGATCTTGAGTTTCATCAGATGGATGTTTAACCGTCTTTCTAAATGGAAAGCTTGAGGAGGAAGTATATATGGACCAACATGAAGGTTTCATGGTCGCATGAAAAGAAAATACGGTGTAAAGCTGAGAAAGTCAATATATAGACTAAAATAAGCTTGTAGAGAATAGTATTTGTAGTTTAATAATACCATCACGTCATATGGTTTTGTAGAGATGATGGTTTATCAATCAATGTATCTACATTAAGGTCAGTGGGACCATATTTTTATGTTAGTCTTATATGTTGATGTAATTATGCTTGCTACAAATAACATAGGCATGTTACATGATGTAAATTAGTATCTCTTTAAGAACTTTGAAATGAAAGATATAGGTGAGATATTTTATGTGATCGGAACAGTAATATTTCGAGATAGATCATAAAGACTATTGAATTTGTCTCAGAAATGATATGTCAGTAAGATTCTAGAGAGATATAAAATAAATAAATAAAATATTCCGTAGGAATAACTCCAATTCAGAAGGGGGATAAGTTTAGTATGCTTAAGAATGAATTGGAGTGTAAGGAAATAGAAAGATTTTCTTAGACATTAGTGGCTGGGAGTTTGAAATATATCGGATATATATTCAGCTTGATATCAGTTTTTATATTGGAAAGTTGAGCCAATATGAAAGTAATCCCACAAACGAACCACTGAAACGCTGCAAAGAAAGGTCCTCTGGTACTTGCAAGGCACCAACGAGAACATGCTTACATAAAAGAGATCCAATTAGTTAAAGGTTATTGGATCTTCAAATTCATAATATGTCGAACATGTTGATGGTAAAAATCAACGTTTGGTTATTGTTCCTATTAGTTGAGGGAACAATATAAGCTGAACTATGGCATGCTTTGAGGTCACAGTTCATGAATAGTAGTTGCAAAAAATTTATCTCAGGGCTTGGATTGTCGACATTAATTATAGTCAAGACACTGAGAGTTTATGGTGATTATTTCGCAACTGTCTTCTTTTGAAAAGAATGACAAGTACGAGAAGGTGCTAAGCACATTAAGTTGGAATACTTGTCTGTTAAAGAAGAAGTTCAGAAACGGATAGTGTCATTCGAACACATGAGAAAAGATATAATGATAGCGGATCCGCAAAATAAAGTTTTAACACCCAAGGCGTTCAATGGCCATTTAAGAACGTATGGGTATTATAGATATAGCCTTGCTATTATATTTATAGAATGCTCATTAAGTTTCCGACACTTAAGAAATCAATTTAAGTTATGTTTCTGATTTATTAAAGATGTTATCATTAAAGTATGTGTACACATTTATGGTTCATAGATAACATATGCTAAAGTTTTGAGAATAAAGGTTCTTCTCGTATAAGGTTATTATAAAGTTGGAATTGGTTTGTGATACATGGAAGGGACTATGCCGGTTAAATGACATACAACCGCCATGATTCGATCAGTTCTAATTTTAGTAAAGATCAAGCGAACTTGATGTAAAGTGCACATTAAAGTTATTAAATTCTTAAAGTCGACATAAAGGTTAAGTGGGAGAATGTAAGAATATTTTATATTCTATGTGACCTATATGTCTATTGATTTAATATAAAGTTCAAGTTCATATTAATGTTTATATATTCTAATGTAAAAGATAATACCGTGATGGATCGGTTTTGATTAATAATTTATAATATGGGTGTATTGATAGCCCTCCTACTTTACTTTATGTTTTATAAATCTCCTTAGTCTCGTGATTATATACATATATATGAAAGGTAATAATATATGATTATATTATCATAAAGTTTAATATACATATATGATTATATGTTATATGCCGGTGCGGTTAATAACGAAAAGTTATGTTGGAGAGTTGTGTTACACACGTCCTTTTGCTTAATTATTAAAAGGACTCGTGCATCATTCTATCCGTAATGAGAAAAGGTATTTTCTTAAAAACACACTACAACAACGAGTTATTAAAGAAGAGATTAAGGAAGGTTTGGGATTTGTTGTCCATCAAAGAAATCACAAAAAGAGAAGGTTAAAGGGGGAAAAATCAATTGGTGGGATTACATCTAATCATGGATCAAGGTTAGTATTTTTTACTTTCTCTAGAAATGTGTTAGGATTGAATTAAGACAAATATAGTTTGGTCTTGGTGTAGATTTCATTACAGAAATCATAAAGGTTAAGTTTACACCTCCTTCCTGCGACTGAGAGAGAAGGGAAGTGACGGTGATACTCCAATCAGGTTTCACCTGGGACCCCAGCATGACGCCAACTAGATCAATTATACCGTAAAAGAGTAAGGGCAGGCAAAGAAAATATGGTCGCGAGTTTCATCCGGTTCACCACAGAGGAGACACGGTTGAATGCACCCCCAAGCTCGACTTCGCGCTCCCATAGACATCCTATCATAAAAAGCCAACCATGTAATGAAAGCAAACCGAGGTATGCTCTGTTGAAACCAAAAAATTCTGCACCAAGTGAGTTTAGGGTACTGGGCCCTGAGTTATTCTCAAGTTGCGCTGCTTGAAAAAGTAGTTTTGTAATCCTCATCCCCATGACACCATAGGCAACGATCGTCAGATGCGTCCTCCGCTAAATTTGTTACATTTATCATTTTTATTTGTATGTGAATTTTTGTATATTTAATTATATTTAACTCATTTTTAAATTTGATTTTTTATATTTTTAGTTTGAATTAAGTATTTGAATATAATTCATTGGTATTAATGGGTAATTTAGTTATATAATTATCTTCAATATACCATGGAATTTATATTATTATCAAATATGTTTCTGTTATATGTACCACAATTAAAATAAAATATGAAGAATCAAGTTCGAGATTTTAGAGTTATGTAAAAAATATAATTATGTATAGAACATAAATTCTCTTAGTTTAAAATATCAGAATCTCATCTCGAATAAATTCAGGAAACGGAAAAGTATTCCAATAACCTATTTAAAATATAAAACTCCCTTTTAAAAAAATGTATTTAACAATATTTTTTACATGTAATAGTTGAAAACTGACAATTGAATATCAATCTAGAAAATTATTTAATATATCTAATGGTAAAATATAATTGTAACAAACAAATTATGAATTTTGTAATATTACATGAATTAGAAGTCTTTAAAATCTATTTTATTAACATAGTATATTTTGTATTAATTTATTATTTTGACATTATAAAATATTGCTTTAGTTTGTATTTGCATATTAATTTGTTAATAATTTAGTTTTAAGTAATTTTAAAATTATCAAGAATATAATATATTTAGAATCATTTATTTAAATATATCCAAATATGATGTCTTATTTTTATGTGTGTTTGCGTTGAGCATATTTTTGTTGTTTATATATTTAATAGCACCTTGTTGCTTGCCGTTTTATGATTTTAATAAATGTGTTGACATTTCATTTTTATTATTACGAACATGATTTTTCAGTGATCAGTGGTAATAATGTACTTTTAACATGTATTATATTTTATCGTATATTTTCTCAATGATAAAGTTTGATACATCTTCCCCTATTATATTTTACGCCGATTACCATTACGCATTGTACAGGGTAAAGACTGGACTTTTTAACGTGATTGGTCCAACTTTTTGCTTGTTCAGGAATACGTGGGTGGCTTTTTAACGTGAGTCCAAATTTTTGCTCGAACAAGTCCCACGCATTACTGTCTGTTAAACACTGGACTTCCATTGGATCATCAACACCCATGCGACCGCATACTTCCCTGGAACGAGTGGTGAATACCAGTGGCGAACCTAGGTTGATTAAGAAGGAGGCAGCTGCCCCTACAATAATGTCAAACCAAATTTATTTGCATAAGAAAAAATAAACCTTTTATAGCATAGTTGGTTCCATTCAATTATTTGCCCCCTCTAGACCATGGTTCAAACATCTCCTACACCATTTTTTTTATACCCCCACAAATAATATATTCTAGATTTGCCACTGGTGAATACTATTTTGCATCCGTCTTTTCTTGTCGGAAATGGGACTCCAATTTCTGCTAAACCCACTTTCGTCCAAATGTCATCCAATAATAAGACAAATTTCTTATTCTTCATATGAGCGTATATATCAGTGACCTTATATCTCCCTCTTTCTGATTCCATCCTTCTCTGCAAAGGCCTAACTTCTCAGCGATATCATCTTGAATCTTCTCAACCCTTAGATCACTAGACACCACAACTCAAATGATAATGTGGACACCATCAACTTCCTCACGAAACTTATTGTTGATCTATGTGAGAAGAGTTGTTTTCATACTCCGCCCATTCCGTAGAGACCCATGATCTTAGTTTCATCATCTATCAGGCGGTTCCACGCCCTTTCCAGCATTGTTTCTTGACCAACAATTACCGGTTGTAGAGGCCTTTCCTCCACCACACATCTCATATATGACTTTTCACGTGCAACAACTTCAAAAAGTCCATTTGATTTAAGATTTTCAACCTCTTTCAACATCAGAGAAACCTTTCTCCCATAATGAAAGCTAGATTTTAAGTTTTTCGAACAAACACCAGAAAGACACAACCTTTGCAGTTCCATGGTTCTAGTAATATTTAGATCATCAAACTGGTTTTCAATGGTCTGAACACTTGTAAGCCATACCTGGAATCCGTTTAGCCTTTGTTGACCATTGGCTTCTTCCCTTTGCACCTCTGTTAACACATCATCTCGCTTTGCCTTGAGTACATCCATGGCTTTCTCCAGAGCCTCCAAGTTCTTCTCAAGGTTAAGAATATGATTGCCTTCTCCGCAAAAGCAGCTACGAACACGGTTGAACACTTGATCGCATGATACTTGGATAGAGATTCACCCACCCATCCTGCACTTGACTTGACACACAGAAAGAGAGAATACCACAATGCAATAAATGAATCTTAATTTACAGTTTGCAAATAAATTCAAGTCGTGGGACAAAAAGAGAGAAAAAAAAAACAAGGTAGAAATTTTAAATAATAAGATGGTTACCAGATGAAGAAAAGTCAGAAATGAAATCTTACATAAACACTCAGATCTGTTTTGACTCCACCATTAGCATCAACATACGAAATCTGTTTCTCCACTTTGACAGCCCTGACATCAACCTCGGAGACCTCCTCCTCCCGTTCGGAGTTCGGACAGGTCCTCCACTTTGACAGCTCAAGATCTAAAACAAAATCAAAGATTCAGAACATAGTTTGGAAAAAGGTAAGAGCTTTAAACAACAAGAGAATTACCAAATGAAGAAAAGTCAGGTATCGAGACTTATCAAAACACTGAGATTTGTTTTGACTACACCATCAGCTTCAGCTTACGAGATCTCTTCCTCCACCTCGACTGTTCCGGTAGCAACCTCTGAGATCTTCTCCTCTAACTCAGACAAAGACATGGGAGAAGATGAGAGAGAATGAAAGAGGAGACATGGGAGAAGATGAGAAAGAATGAAAGAATAAGAAGATAACAATTTTAGGCTTTTCAATTTTAACATAATAAATTTTATATTTTATATATATTAAAAAATTGAAAAATATAATATTAAAATTACATATTTTTTTTATTAATTTTCTTTTGTCAAATTATCTTAATGTCATATTCTCAAATTAATGATTAGGCGGAAAACCTAAGTTATACTAAAATTCAAGCGAGAAGACATCCCAAGAAGTCTTTCAAGAAATCTATTAGGACATCTCCAACCCAACTCAATTTTTTATTTCAAAATGGAATAAAGGTGAGTATGGAGTACAAAATGCTCCAACCCACTTCATTTCTTATTCCATAATGAGATTTACTCCATAAATGGAGTAATCTATTTTTTCTTTGTTCACTACTCCATTATGAAGTTAGAAATAGAGTGGGGTTGGAGCATTTTGACTCTATAATCATTTTTACTCTATTTTAGAGAGAAAAATGGAGTTTTACATTGGAGATGCTCTTAAACCCTAAATTACCAGAAGTATTTGGAAGACTTCACATGTATGAAGTCTTCTAGTGTATAAGACCATGTATAATATGGGTGTTGAAACCCTTTTCAATTGTTGAAATCCTTGTTATAGTAAGGGTGTTAATATATTTGGTCTATCTATGTGGCATATACACTTGTTGTAATTGTTTGTGTGGCCCACGGCTGCGACGTGTCAGTTTTTGATTGGGTAGAAAATGTAGGCGTCGTGTACACGCGCTGAACTTGTCACCATTTAAAAAATATATTTAAATGTTTTATTCTGATTGGTTGTGCAGATTTTTTTTTTATTTTTATTCTCACCCAATAATCCAAACGTATTTTTTATATAATAAAATTTTTTTTTACAAATATCAAAATTCAAGATTTCTCTTTATCTATAGAGTCTATTCTCATTTCATTTGGATGCAGAAAAAAACATTTTCAGTATAATCAACTATTATAGTGTTTTCTTTGTTTAATGGATCCCAATAATAATCCTTTTAACACTCAAAACTCTTCTAATGTTTCGTTTAACTCCAAAATCCCAACAATTATCAGTTCCAAAACCAAACTTTCAACCAACCAGAATTTTCATCACTTAGTTTTTTTTTTCTATAAATAAAACTCATTTTCCCATAGATGTACTAATAACACCAATTTCATCTTAGAAAGTATCAATGGATCATTTCCTTTCGATATCGAAATGTACAAAAAAACAGTTTGAGCTTGAAGAGAGGTATATCGTACACCAATTCTTAACTTTAATTATTATATTAATATTAATTTTGGTATTATTTAAAAAGTAAACTAAGAAGAATAAATAAAATAAATATTATTAAAAGTTATGTAATTTTAGTTTTTAAGTTAGTTATTAATATGTAATTACTATGTTGTAAAAAATAAAAATATTAATTAAGAGTTGTGGGGTAGGATTGAATTTTTTAGAACAAACCATTGTGGAGGTTTAAAATAAAGTGGGTGTTGAAATAAATTAGGGTGTTAAAAATGGAGAGGATGTTGAAACTATTGGACATGGATTTATAAGTTAGATTTGAAAGTCTTTTGAAGTCTGACCTAGATCTGAAAATATGCATATCTAAAAACGTTCCAATTGTTTCAAAACAAAGAAAATCTCCAAAATTAGTTTTAAGCTTAAATAATCAATAAACAGTCATACTGGTTGAATCTATAACTTTTTAGAATTTAACATATAAAACACAAAAGATACATATCCAAAATTTATAGATCTACCTTTTAAAAAGTGCAAGATGAGAACCATGTAGAGAAAAATCTGCAAAAACAAGATTAATTAGTGAGAAAGGCATGAGACAAAAAATGAGGACTTGGGAATTCGGGACCTCGGATCGGGTTTGGATCGAGTCCTGTCGGATATGGGTCCTTCGGTGCTTAGATATTTAAACCCAATAGGGTAATTAGAACTTGTCAGTTTGGGTTCGGTTTGGGTCCTATCGGGTCTGGGTCGGTTCGGCGCGTTAGATAATTGGACCCAATATGATAATTAGAATTTGTCAATTTGGGTTTGGTTCAGTTTCAGGTTGGGTTTGGGTCCTACCAGTTCTGCCCAAATAAAATACCCAAATACACAAAAATACCTGAAAATATTAAGGTACCAAAATATCCAAAATTTACCCAAAATTTACCCAAAATTTACCCAAAATCTGACCCAAAAGTATAAAAATATTCAAAATTTTTATCGGATTATTAGAGTTATATTTAAAAATCTTAAATTTTACCCAAACCCAAAACCATCCTTAAAATCCGAAGCCGAAACTTAAAATATTCATAATACCAAAAAATATACTGAAACACACACACACACACACACACACACACACACACACACACACACACACACACACACACACACACACACACACACACACACACACACACACACACACACACACA